TATTCTTGAAGAAACAAAGTATTTTCTGATTTGGTAAATCACTGAGACAAGAATTAACTACGTATGTGTGTGTGTGTGCTTGTAAATAAGTAAATATAAATATATATACCGTATTTGTCCAAATATTATGCACACTTTTTTTTCTCTTCCAAATACCTCCTGAAAAATTGACTGTGCATTATATTCATGCATATTCAATTCTGTTAGGTATTTTACTAGAAGCTACCATCAAAAATCAGTAAAGGTTTAAAAACATGTTGCATATCCAATGCAATGAATGGGACAGATGATGACATACTGTGGGAATCAAAAGAGGATGAAGCAAATCTGATGGCTACGACAATTGTAGCGCTTACGAAGATTTATGTGAAGATGAATGATTAGTTTAGTGTATTACCACGTATAAACTTTTCAATAAATTTTGTAAAATAGACAAACAAAAAATTTTCAATGGAAGATTTCTAAAAATGTTTAATACATCAATAGTTGTTTACTGTATTTAGAAACTATTCAATACATTTTGTGCAACTGATGTGTAAAAAAACATTTTCTTCAATTTAACCTTTCAAAATTTTGTACTCATTGTACTTAAGGGTGCATTATATTTGGACAAATACATTATATTCAGATAAAAAGGAAAGTTTTGATTACAGCCAACTTTTAGAAGTTTGGTTAATACTTTCTATCTCATTGTGATTTGTTATAGATGGATAGTAACAGCTAGTTTATTTATATTAGCTAGTTCTTAAAATAATGTTACTGTTTTTAACATAGACATTACAAATGAATTTTTGTGCAAAACATGTCTTTGTGAAATCTAGCAGATAATTCATACTTTTTACTGTTCTGAATAACTCGTGAATTTAGTAATAATAATTATAAAATATAACCTCAGATTTGTTACACATAATGCAATACAGTTTGAAAAGGTAATGATTAGTTAAAAATAAATCAAATTTTTACAAACGATTTTTGGAGGTATCATAAAATGGTTCTGGTAGGTCTTTAAAAATTAATTAATTTTTCTTTATTGTGAGCAAAATTAAAGTATTTAGGTTGTATCAGAATTCAGAAACAGTTAGGTTTTGTAAAGGGGTTTCAAAATAGAAGTAAATATTAAAGTGCAGTTTGCAGAACAAGAAAGAAGTGCATAGGACACATTTTCATATTTTGTAATTCCTTGTTATTCTGACTTTAAAATTGGCATATAGGGCTTTACTGTATAGCAAGATTATTGAGGAATAATTTGGGATGAAACAGGACTTGTATATATAGAATGGTTCAGTATATAACTAACAAATTGCAGACTAGTATTTTTTTATGTAATTTTCTAATGGTTAGTTTAAATTATTAATTGTTGATATTTATGCTGTGTTGTCTGTTCATCACAGACTGTATTTTGTATTGTTATGATATTGATTTTGTTTAATGTTATTTAATTCTTTAGCTGTCCTAATCATGTAAGTTTGTATAATGTAATATTTCCAACCTCTCCAATAATGTGCATACAGAACTTTATTTACCTGGTACACAAAATTTCTACATACATGTACTTCACTTCATTTTCTGTTACATCATATTTCATCTAGTGTTCTTCACCAAAGAATAGTTGTTACTTGCAAATGTCATGTTTTCTTTGAAAAGTTAAAATAAATTCATTCATGATTATTTTATGCCAATTGGTTTTTAACCTATTATTTGACAATAAGGTAATGTGAAACAGTTTGTTCATTTGAGCTTGTGATACATGTAAAAAATAACTGCATCTTTGCTTGCTTGTTCTTACAGGATTTTTTAAATACCAGAGACAAAGACATCACAGAAAGTCTGTACAAGTCAGATAACTGTGATTATGACATATTTGATAAAGAACCGTTTCCAGATAGTGGCACTGTCCAAGACTGTGCTAGTGGTGGTGATGATGATGATATGCTTGGGAATGAAAGGCTGACAGGCAATGGTCATGTAGTTGAAGAACAAGTAGAAACTAATGAGAAAAAACATGGGACAGTTGTAAAAGGTGAACTTCTTGCCAAGCAATCTGAAACAGTGAACAAAAGAATAATAAACATCAATGGTTTTGATGAAGGATTTTTTAGTGAGCAATTGTCCAAACATGAATATAAAGATACAGGGTACAACTCTGAAGTTCAAGGTGATGAAAAGTCATTTGAAAATGATATAAAAACACAAGAGGATAAGTCAGTTAATGAAAATATGCTTGCTGGGGAATCATTCAAAATTGAAAACCAAGAACAAGAAAAAAAAAATATCAGTAATGAAAGTCAACAGGAAGATGAACTATTCAGAAATGAAAAGAATGAACAGGAGTTTGAAAGTGAAGAAGGACTTGGTAAAGACTCATCCGAAGTAAATCAGTTGGATAAATCATCCAAAACACACAAAACAGTTAAACATTCAAAGGAAGAACTGAAGGAAATTTTTAGTGAAAATCAGAGGATACTGAGAGGTAAAATTTTCAGTTTAAATAATGCAAACTTAAGAGATCAAGAAACATTAACTGTTAATGAAACGTAGTTTTATTTATAGAACCAGTATCTATATTTGTATATAATAGTGGTAATCTTGTAATGTGAAACCTTAATTTCACAGATATTTGTCCTATTTTATATCTCATGGTGTTTATATTCTAGATTTCAATTGTGTTAGTTTTGAATCATTAGAGAAGTTGGTTTAAATTTATGATTACATACACTAAATGCAGAATGAAACATTTAAGAAAAATATTTTGGAATTATGGAATACTCCTAAAAGCTCATTATCGAATCCTGGCCACGACCAACACAGAAACCATTTCTTCTCAGGACTTTCCTGAAGGTAGCAGGAGATTATCAGCCAAAGTGTAGGATAGATACTAATTAGTAATTAGTTTCTGTGTGTGTGTGTGTGTGTATATATATATAAAGAACAATGTAGTTGGTAATTAATAATTACACTTAGGTGGTTATATAGGCTAATAATCGTGATTGTGGAAGCACATGGTATTTAATTTTGCTGTATATGTCAATGCAGTAATCAAAGACGGCCTCTTTTGGGGCAAACCCTCAGTACTCCTGGCTTTTGAACCTGTAGAAATTTCTTTTTTCTAATCAAGAAACATTTCTGACACATAAATCTGCTTCTTAGACTGTTACGTGGGATTATTGGGAATTGTTTCAGTTGGTTCCTTTTATGTGCTTCCCAATGGCACAGCAGTATGTCTGCAGACTTACAAAGCTAGAAACTGAGTTTTTATACCTGTGGTGGGCAGAGCACAGATAGCCCATTATGTAGCTTTGTGCTTAACTACAAACCAACAAACAAATCTTCTTATGATACTTTCGGGCAAAACTAATTTCTCCTTAGAGTGACAAATTCACAGAATAACAGATGTTTTCAAGATATGTACTTCAAAATTACTCTGTATTCTCTGTCTAACTGAATTCATCAAAAACGAAAGGAGTCTGGACACAAAAGTACAGCTATAATAAACTATTTTTATTTAGAACAAACAGCTAAAATGTATACATTACATGTTTCAATGAACAGTCTCCTCTACTGGAGAGTTAGCTCTGAAGACACTCTTAATTTGGTGATCTCTTGTTCTGGACTGTATATTTTCATCATGTTAGTTACTTAATTCATTAATATCAAACTTATCCAGAATGCTAACATCACTCACATGACTGGTCATTTTCAATAAAATATGAGAGGGGTCATTAGCTCAAGAGGTCACCTGACTATCAAAAGATACCTGTGTAACTTCATGTACTGTGATTGATATTGCAACTATCTTTCCCATGGAAGACAAAAGGTTCTACCCTAGATGAATGACACAGAACAATAGATAAAGCAAATAGAATTTAATGACCTTTTTGATCAACGTGTCATTCAGAAACTATACATACCTGCACAAATAACATGGATGTTTTTTCATTGGCTCTTAGATCAATAGGTTCCAACTGAGGACCTGTTTATTCCGATCCCCAGATTTCTTTGAACATTATTAACTTTTTAAATTATATTAAAGCTATATTCTAAAATAATATACTTCAGTGGCTGCATTTTAATGAAAACATTTTTTTTTAAACTCTCTTGTGGACCAGTAGTTGGGAACTACTGTTTCCTGCCACATGTAAAGACAATCAACTCTCATGCTGTAAATGAGATGAACATTGTTCACATTGTGCTGTCACTTTACAATTTTGTAATTCCTCTTGCTGTCTATATTTGTTGCTCTATCCAGAATCTATAGCATTTTACACTTAGATACTTATTGTTATAAAAATTTTCTTGAAATCACGTGAACAGGAGCTCCCATATCAGAACCCTCTTTGATATTTGTGACTCTTGTGATGTTTGTTCCTTCATGATTTTATGGCAAAACATACATACCTCCGCTGACACTTATAGTCATTTCTCGATCTTCATCTTTGCCATCTAAACATTGTGTTTGCTTGCTCCAGTCTATATATACCCCACTCAACTACCCTCGGCAACATCTAACTTGCAAAACTTTACACTGAGCCTCACATGCCCTCTATGCAGGTACTGTATATAAGCACTGTATGGCGACAATATAACCACTTTTTCTCGACAAAGCGCTAGTGCTAGGAATCATGTTTTGTGGTTAACATTTTCTTTTGAAACATTTTGACAGTATTCTGGTGTTTTTTTTCCCATTGCCAATATTTTGCTGGATTTCTTTTGCGGTTAAAAACACATAAATAAATAAATAAAAATGTAGGTATGAATTCCTATGTAATGGTTTCTGGCACATGGGGTTAACCAGACCTCGTCCATTCCTCCTTTGTTGTCGGGGGGTGGGGGTTCACTCTCAGTGGAGGCTGTCCGTGACCTGATACAGGATGAGTTGGAGTCCTTCATGCGGCCCGGGGGTTCAGAGTTGGCTTTTCATCATGAACCTGAATATACTGGGGAGAATTTAGATGCTGTTTTCTGCTCCTTCTTTCACTAGAGCTGCCTCTACTGAGGGCTCACCTGATTGGCCACCTTCTGCAGTTAGTTATGCAAGTTTGTGAAGCTTTGGGGATTTACTCCCTTCTTTTTGAGTCTACCCTGTCTTGTTGTCAGATTGACCTTGGGGGGGGGGTTACTTAGTTCTTCCTCCTTCGCCTGATATTGCCATGTATTCTGGGATGTTTGCAATGCAATTACGAGAGGGTATTGCTATGCCTTGCTTTGGATTTGTTGTTGGACCTATGGGGTTCCAGGTTAGAACCTGTTATCCCTCTTACCAGATCTCCATTTTTGTGGATTCATTTAACTCTTACGACTGTATTGTGATATTCCTCCTTGTGATTTCCAGGAGGCACCCCTTTTTCAGCCTTACTAGTTTGCTGGAGTCCCTGAAACTTTTGAGGCCTGATTTTATATGGCATGTTTGTAGTTTTCTTTATCGTCATTGGCTACTCGCCTCTTTTCTTCTCCAATAGATAATTCAGGATGATCGATCATTCATGTCTCGTGGCCCCCTACTTTGACACCTCGTTCTATTGGTTTACAGAATCAGTTCTATCCATATTCTTGGGGATCTTCGTAAGGTTGGGATGGCACCATTGTTGTCAGTGTCTACCCATTTAGAAAGTCGATCCAATTCATCCAGGATTCTATTCTCATCTTTTTTTGATGACCAAGAACAGTAGAGATTGGTGTCTTATCATCAGTCTGTCTCGACTCATTCTCTTCCTACAGCCTCCTCGTTTCACCATGGAATCTTTTCTTCAGATTCAGTGGCACTTCACACCACCAGATCTTTGAATGACCAAGTTTGATGTTACAGATGCCTACCTTCAAATCGATTTCTACATTTTTTGCACAAGGACTAGATGTAGCAGTTCCAAGCTCTCCCATTTGGAATTGCTTCAGCAATATATGTTTTCTGCCAAGTAGTATGGGCCTTTGAGCAGCGTCTTCATTTTCTGAGTCTGTGCACACGTTTATGTTTGGAAGATTGACTTCTTTTGTCACCAACCTGTCATGTTGCCACACTACATCTACAGACTCTCCTTTTAGAAGCCAGAAGGGAGACTTCATATCAGGTCGGACAAATCCATTCTCTCTCTCCAACTTCATATGTGGTCCATCTTGGGGTGTTTTTCAATGCACTTTGAGTCGAGCTCAATCTACTCCCCTCAGATTTATGCTGGGGAAGGGATTGTTAAGCATTTGCCTATGTCACCTTCTCCCACTGAATTGATGGTTCTGTCTGTTTTGGGGATTTGGGCTTCCCTAGAATCTTTCATATCATTGGATCAAGCCCATATGAGATCCCTTCAGTGTTCATTTTGTGGCCAGTGGTTCATGCATACTGATCCTTTGGATCACACAGTCTCTTAGCTCAAGCAATTTGCAGATCTCAAGTGGTGACTGGACAGGAACAACACAAATATCAGGGTCTGGACACCACATACTTGTGTGGAAATCCATCTCTTCACAGATGTGGTGCCTTTCTTCTGGAGTAGGCATTCCAGGGTATTTGGACTGATTATGAATCTACCCTGCATATCAACATTCTTGAACTTCTTGCAGTACATCTGCCGATGATTCCAGATCTTCCTCTCTTGCACGACAAAATGGTCATGATTCATTCTGACTATTTCACAGTGGTTTCATATCTTTCTTCTCAGGGAAGTTCTCAATCTTGAGGTCTTGGTTTTCAGGCTTTAGATTTTCTTTTTTGGCTCATTCCAATGACATCCATCTTTTGGCCTGTCATGTGCCAGTGGTTATGGTGATCTTTCAATGGATTTGTTCTCAGTTCGGCTCTCCAATGATAGAAACCTTTGCAATTTATTGGAATGCTAGCCTACAGTTCTGGTCTACAATTTCACATCCACAAGCTCTGCTGATAGATGCTTTCAGTCAAGACTGGACAGGATTCCATTTGTATGCCTTTCCTCCTATTCATCTCTTATCCAGACTCTTTGTCTGATTCATTTCACCCCATGTTGGGTTCTCTTGTCAGCACCTTTTTTTGGCCTGCTCAGACATGGTTTCCTCTTCTTCAGTTGCTCCAGGAATGTTTACCACTACCTCCTCATTCAACCTTGTTGAGACAACCTCAGTCCAACATTCAACACCTGGATGTTTAAAGATGTGTGGAAGTTATGCAGTCCTTTGCTTGACCATAGGGGTTTAAATTATACAGTTTTCGTTTACTTGACTATATCCTCCATCAACCTACTATGGCAATCTATCGATGGAAATGGACTACATATTGTCAGTGGTGTCTTTAGTGAGCCTTCAACCCACTTCATCTAACAATCTCCATAGTTTCAAGTTTTTTGACATACATTTTTGAAAGGTTTGGCTTCTACCTTGCATTATATACAGCATCCTTTGCTGCTTCCTTTCACTCTTCTACATATACAAAGATTTTTGACTCCTGTGCTATCTTGTTTTATGATCTTTTCATATTCTTCATCCCAATCTACTATTTCAATTATC